GGGGGGGAGAGATCGATTCTTTTACAAATCGTGATTCTTCAAACTGGTGATTTTTATATCACTATGACAGTTTTAAAAAACATCAGTTCTAAACACCAGTTTAAACATGGGTTACTGAAATCACATTTGGTGCTGCTAATATATGTGGCCAGTTGCGCGTAGCCTGGTTTTGCTAAGGAAGTGCGATCATGAATGAGTAAGCAAGCCTACGCAGAGACTTTTCCTGCAGCATTTAAAGCCACAACTAACCGCAAGTGTGTGATATGTAAACTCTCGCTGAATATCTCTATACCTCTTCCCTGAACACTAAGAACAGTTTCTAAACAAACAATCATTTACACCTTTTTTTAACTCCTCCCTCTGGTTTCACCAAACCCCGTGTCTTGTGCTTTAACTGGCCACAGCTTGTCACTACATTCACTGCCAGCTGCAACACTGCAGGACTTGGTGTCGCCGACAGTTGCGGATATTTTGCCGGGTGGATATCTGACGGGCGCTTTACGGCGCTTCAGCGACTTTGTCCACTTGCCTCTTTGAACGATAAGCGATCGAGCATCGATTTGCCTCTGATCGGAGGCTTTTCTTTGCGAGAGCCAAAAGCTGCGAGTGAGCGGAAAATCAGGTCTAATACAGTGTAGTGTGAACTTTTTTTCTGCTGCATTCCTTTTAGGCCAGTGCGAATTTCCTGGCAAAAACACAGACTCACATGATGCTTAAAATGAGTTGGCATGTTGGATGTTTTTCCAGAAAAATATCCGAGTTAGTTACACCATTCTTAGTCTTATCGGCAACTCACTTTGGTGTTGGTGTCATTTATTGGGAAGGGAAAAGGTTCCCAAACCACAAATTACTAGCACTAACTGTAACCAACTCAAAGCTACAGTTAGCATAGTTTTCCATGTTGAACATCTACTTGTGCATTTAGGTTTCCATCTCAAGAAATGGATCAGCATGTTTCATTGCACGTTTCAAACTGAAGATGTTGTAACTGAATGGCACACGACGGATACATGTACCGTACAACCCTTGTCATTACTTTAAGTTTAGACCTGCAATGCTTTTAGCAGCGTCTGTTTAAAAATTGTGATCCATATCGCATCGGCAAACATGTATCGATATATCATTGATTTGGACGGTCACTGCCGATTCCCACCGCAAACATACACCCACAGTTCCTCATTTGGAACTTTACTCGTCAATGAACGTTCCGGCACTGACAACCAGTTCGCATTGCCGATTTCATCAAAAACATTAATAAGTGAATTCAGATTTTTTTTTTAGAACACATAGCCAATTCTTTGCGATACTCTGGAAATATTGCCATACTTCATTTTCTTCTTCTTATCCAGACTTGGAAAATACCAAAAACCAACCTGCGGAGTTTCCTGTACTGCGTAGAACCCTGATACTCTACAGGACAACTGGGTGATGTAAATCAAAGGGAAACGGGGGTAAATGCGTTACCAGACTGGACGAAAAGGAACGTACAACCCGCTTCTCTCTGAACCTGGCGTCATGGGGCACTGGGTGGTGTCCAGAATAGGGAGGGTGGGCCTGGGGTGCGGGAGGATGGTGCTGGTAGTAGGGATGGTGAGCGGGCTGCTCCATGGCAGGGTATGGTGCCTGCAGAGAAGGTCACAGCCGTGCCGGTCACTCACACAGCTGGCAAGAGCAGGACATCAGAATTAACAGGAACCATCACGAGCACCACAGGTTATTGGGTAAGGGGATAATTTGCTGATCATCAACAGTAGGCCGGATCTGCTGAACTGAACTGGCCTGTAACATGGCCGTAGCCTTGGAGAGGTGACCGACGTTTACACCACCAGAAGTGTCTCAATGACACGAAAAACAGCAGCTAGTATGTCGCAAAGCTCCCCTGTGGACCAACACCCATCCTGTCCATCATCTCACCATCTATGACCACAGCAAATACCCTCAAAATGAGGAATCCAGGCTAGGTCATGACACAAACCCAGACCATCACGGAAGCTAGGGCGAGCTTTCTAAATTAATTCCGATTTATTCGGTATTGAGATAAATGCCATCTTGAGCAGCGAAGCCAAAGGCTAAACACGTTTACAAGCAAACTTACCATTCCCTGCCAAGGAGGCGGTGGACCAATGTTATGGTGAAACTCTCTCATATAATCATTGTAGGACTAAGGGGAGAAGATGACGGAAGATTAAATCTTAATACTTCCCACCGTATTCATAGGAATTGCATACATTTTTCATGCATGCAATGTGTGTTTTGTAGCTCGGTTGCGAATGACCACTGGGAAATGGAGAGAATACGTCACATTTACAAAATGAAAACGGAAGATACTCACTCCGTTGAGAAACACATCCCTTCGAACTCCAGAGAATCGTCTGTTGGAAATAATCATGTTTATTATAAGCAAGCACTTCAGTAAAAATGATACTAAATTTGATTAGCTGAAGTGAACATAACCTACCTGTCTACAGGCTGATTACGAGGGTCTTGCATAAAACCTGTTCAGACACCAGAGAATGAGCTCATGTGGAGGACAGAAGAAGCCCATGACATCATAAATGTAAAAAAATGGCACTTGGGGAAAAAAAA